CCCTGGTACCATTTCGTCAAGCTCAACAGGAGTCTACAAGACACTTTACAGGAATTTCATGGTGAGACACGACCGTGAAAGGGCAGAAAAGAAAAACAGGCTCACAGGTGTGGCTCCCCTCCCAAGGCTACTGCGGAGAGCAGATCTTCTACGCAGACCTTTCTAGGTCCTCCGAGAGCTCCTTTGTCGAGCAGGACTTCACATACCGCTTGCTAAGGCAGTTGATTCCCCCCTCATTGTGAATGGATTCCCCCTTCTTATCTAATAGCGCAGTCAATTTTTTGTGTGTTGTGCCCTTGAAGCTAAAGCGCAGAGAACTTCCCAAATCTCATCCATTCACACCTGTTTTTTCAGAGCTCGGACTGTTTCACTAGTGGATGTGCTAAACACGCCAATGTTTGCACGAAAAGTGACCAAGCACTTCCTGAAAAAGATAAGAGCAAGCCTTCAACCTGCTTTTGCTTTTTTACAAAGGGCTGGTCAGAGACATTAATCGCGAACCAGAGTTTGTGGGAGTTCACAAATCCGGTACTGCCACATGCCACAGATTTATCTTTGTCTTTACGCTAAGCGTGATAATGTCATGATAAAAAGAAAAATTGAAGAAAACCCTTCTCAATGCTGTATCTTGTAGGACCTTCTTCAGAGTGAAGGTACCTCTGTTGATTGAGGCATATACTACTTCTTTATTACAGAGTAATAAAGACGCAGAAAATTCTAAAGGTACAAAGGTGAATGAAGCGTATGCTCGTGGACCATCATAATTGCGTAGATGAGTCACGCAAAAAAGAAACCTGCTGCTGAGAGAGGCTGCCAAAGCCCTGAAATCTCCTTCATTCACACCTGATGTCTGTCCAAACATTCGACTAGTTTCAGTAGTGGATGCGACCGATACATCAATGTTTGCACATAAAGGTGACATTGAACTTCATTGAAAAAATGACAAAGCAAACCAGCATCCAGCCCTTTTTTTCTCATGATGGATTGAACAGAGGCATTTCAGCCAATCAAGGTCTTTGGAAAGTGGACAGGTCTGTAGTGGACCCGTATTTTCAACATTGCCTTCATCCGTCAGCAAGTTGATTGCGTGAAAATCGAAGAAAGGGAAAACACTGAAGTGAGGAGCAGAACAACAGAGCAGCTTGATTTTCGTTCTGCACGTTGCCTTTAGAGGTAGGCAGGTTGGGTCTAGAGATAGTCCAGGCAAAAGCAATATCCTTTCTATGTGCCAGGGCCAAGCATCTTATCGGGGGAAGTGACGTTGGCACGACTTCCCTCCTCCCCCCCTTGAAGAAGAGCCCGTACGCCCGCCTCCCCATGCTGGCTGCCTGGGTATTTGTCCTAGTTGTGCATCGTTGCGGCGGTGGCTTTCTAAGAGGAATCTACGTGAAATAGTCTATAAGGATTGTATGGCTTCCTCTAGCCGAAATTAGCGCGGAGAAATTCTTCCGAATTTAAGTTGTTGACCTTTCAATGGGCACGACTTCATCGAGTCATAAGGCAGGCAGATCCACAAGGATTCAAAATTTAGAGAATCTCCTGATTTTAACACAATAAGACTCGCTGTAATTAAAAAGAGGAGCCAGCAGAAAACTTGTCGAAACGCAGGTTGGTTTCACGACGGTTCAAATTGTACTGTAGCGAATTGCTCCGTCGCGGTAAAAGGAATTCTTCGTCCGAGAGATACTCCAGCTCCACAAAACGACCTCGTTGACCGTTGCCACACTGAAGAAGGATAGGTGACTGTTCAATCCTTCATGATGCGCCCGCTCTCCATTTCCATGCGGAATCAAAGTGATACTTGTAGAATAGTGAACCCATTAAACAACTCTGTTCTTCTGCTGATGTGTTCTTTGCCGTATTTTAACAAAACAACTTTTAACTGTGGTGTCTAGTTGATATAGTCACACAAGTCGGGGCGTGATAGAATAGCTCTGATTTTACTTTTCTACCAAATGATCGGTCAGCATTCAGTATATTTGCAGTTATTGTAGAAGGAAAACAACCAAAAAGGGTAAGGGCGCGGTGACCTGATTCATGCCCCTTACACCGCGCAGAGTGTTGGTGTTCATCTGTGCGCGTTCCACGAGCGACGCTGACAAGTGTCCCATAACAGTGCCACTGCTCAGTTGATCATAGACAGCTGCACAGAGGACCCCTCCATTTCCCTCACATACGGTTGGGACAAGGAATAGCCCCCATGATAAATATGAGTGAAAGAAGAAGAAAATAAGAAGGCAAAAATCACTTCGATTTTCATTATAGTAATGCTAGTGAAAAGCCAAAGAAGCTATGAGCTCATAAGTCCCAGAAAAGAGGAAAAGAGTACATAGCGCGCTTCGCATTGATCGAACATTACTTAGGATGCAAAATGCACTCGACAATTTTTTATAACACTCGACGTTTACATACAATCAACTCCAGAGGGGCTTCGACAAACCTCGCATAATAGTACGAATTTTCGCGGAAACTTCAACAAAAATAAAGTGGACTTTACGGGTGTTCCGACAAACTCATCACTCAAACAAGAAACAAGCCGCAAGTCGCATAGAATTTCTGGTCCCCAAAGACGCTTTTACAGGGAATAGAGATCTTCAGAAAAACGGTGCATTGAGAAAATGAATGGCGTGAACCTTGCTATTGACGGTAGTGTATAGACGGTGTATAGCCGAAAGCACCATCATATACTAATGAAGAAAGATTTAGTTTCAACAAAAATTCTCAATTTTTTTGTCCCAGTCAACCTCGACCAATGAAAGTCCATAGGGATATCTGAGGAATATGTTAATAAGAACTCACCGCAGTTGCAAAATAGTTCGCTGAATTTCGGGTTGATATTCATACATCAAATGGCGAGGGATGTCGTAAGCGGGGCACGTCCTGCCGTTGACGAAAAGTTCAGCAAAATATGACCCTCTCCCCTCTCCGGCAAGATTTCCTGCTTTTTTACGGCTCCTCTTCCCGATCTGCCCACCATCCTGCTGGCTTTTCATTATTTCGCACCACGTTTTCAAGGTATTTTTCTAGAAATGCTTCTTCCTCCCCCTCCGCCTTGCCCTCAAATTAACGCCTCCAGGCAGGGGAAGGGGGGGGGTCACAGAACACCTGAAACAGGAAAAACAGAAAAAGCCAACAACTGAAAGCATTCCCTCAGAAGCAGATACGACCCTCCCCTCCGGCGACCAAGTACGACCCACCCCGGTGGAGATCTTCAACCCTACAACGTGTTGGTTGCAAAGGAAATCCGTATCCCTGAAAATGAAGGTATAGGGCCAACGGACTGTTGCAAAGTGATAGTAAGCGTTCAGAGAAAATGATCTCAGTCTTCAGGAGGATGGATAAAACGGCGGAGCTTCCTTGACGAGAGTCGAAATGTTGCGTCGTAGTGAAGGATAGTGACGGTCATTGCAGTCATGGTAAGGGTTAGCTGCTACATAACAGCTAAGGCGGACCCACGTTTTGTACAGCAGTTAACCCTTAATATGGCTACAATGACCCGAGGTTAGGGAAAAATAGGTCAGGAAAAGTAATACTTGTCAGACGTAGCTTTTCTTACGGAAGCAAAAAGTTTTTCGAAGAGTGCTTGGCTTTTTTCGAGCTTTTAAAGTTCTTTTGCAACTAACACTGGAACCTTTTTATGTTGTTCATACAACATTGGTTTATACAACTTTTTAATGTTGTTCATACAACATTTGGATTCCATAGGGGCTTCGCTACAGCTCATTGCTCAATATCAAGAGGACTGAAAAGCTGGAACTAAAAACTTGACCGCATTTTCCCCTCAAGAAAAGCTTTAGTCATTTTAATTGATAAGAATAGGGAATTGACTTGGCCTTGTGTAGCGCTAAAACCTATTTGACAAAGAAAAGAGATCTTTATTGACGAGCCGAAAAAAGCATTTAAATTAAAAATCGATACAATGTGGAAAGACACTGGACAAGCTATACATCATCATAAAATTATAATGCACACATAAAGAGAATAGGTAAGCGCTTCATCCTCGTACGGTATTCAAGAACCCATTGAGTCCACTCAAAAAGTTTCCGCCGCCGGTCGCCTTTTTGAAGGCGTGAGCCTCTTGTTGGAAACGATCTTCTTGTAATCGTTCGAAGGCTGCACACTTCTTGTCCTTCAGGATGTTTGGTATCTGCAACAACTCATTTATTACAAGAATACTGGCCGAACACTTAAGAATAGAGTTATCGGCAAAAGTCTTGACTTCAGGCGGTACTCAAACCCACGCTCACTCTTTGAGCAGGTACGTCCTATTTTACGAAGTCTTGAGGGTGGGGTGAGCTGAATGCCGCTCCGACACCAACAGATTGTAGACCCTGGGTTTGCGAATGTGTCGAGCTTTCGAGAAGCCCGAGAGTACTTTACTAAGAGCAGTGCCAGCGTGCTGTACAAAAATTTGAGTGACGCTGCTGCTGAAGATGATCGCCTCTGGATGCGCCATGCCTCCGACTCTCGATCAGAATTAAGGGGCCTTTGTTCACCTAGATTGTCTCCCGAACTACCCTCCAGAGGCCAGCTGACCATGAGGGCGATGATAGGACCAGTGGTATTGACTGGACGCCACTCTCACAGCCCTTTACAGCCTTAAAAACAAGA